AGCCCCTATAAATTGCCAAGGCCACAAGAAACGTTAATTTTGTTCGTTGATTCTTCTGACACGTCAAGCGAAAAACTCTGAAGTTTCGATAATTCATGGTCTAAAATAGTAGGTATCTTTTTGCACTCACCTTTTGAAACCACTTAAAAACACGATTGCGCTGCCACCAGCTCAACAACACAACTTCACCAGTCGATAGTCACAGTCAAACTACTTCATAAATTCATTGTCATAGCCCAGAATAACTACTGAAACGCTACTAAATGCTCATGGGAAAAAACTTTCAAACACAGTGTTTCCGTAGAATAGTTCAGATATGTTCGAAACGTAATCCTGGCAGAATAAAATTATAATTTAAGTTTGTCTGTTTGACCACATGATTCTAAACAAAAAATCCACATGGTTTTTAATTGTGCAAAGAGTTTGTGAATCACGTCAAATGTCATGTTAAAAGTGTTTGGCAACAAAATACTGTAAAATATGTGGAATGGACTCAAGGACATTTTTTGAAACTTCTGTAGATCTGAGGCCGGGACCTCGTCGTGAAATTGGACACGCGTAGCGAGGCGTCAGTATGCCCTATATTCTTGAGGTTATAAATATATAACCATTCCGTTCGTAAACTCGTGTCGTCGTTCGGAAAGTTCTCACGGAAGTGAGCCGATTCTGTCTTTAGTTCGTTAAGACAAGGAAGAGCCGACGTTTCTCTAAATGATGTTTGAACATCACACCGTGGGTCAGGCGTCACCTTCGTGAAATACCTCGTACGAGAATTACGGTCGGGCTTAGATGGGTTTTAAGCACTGTTTGTAATTAAGACCTCCACAGCGACATTGTTTTATTATTACATCTTCGTATTTTAATATTTTCTGTATCGCCAAGAAGTTTCATTACAAATATCTCTATCCTTGTTCTTCTAAATATACTATTGGATTTTTTGTCACTAGGGCAGCAAATCCATTTGTCCTAGTTCCTACACTATATAATATCTCTTATAGATCTTCCATACAAAATGTGGCAAACAGTTTGTACAAAGCAAACAGCAGACAACACATTCAGATTTTATTAAGTACAAACATATCGCATACATATCTTAACTGAAGATATATAAAGGAAGAAATTTTAAAGTTGTATTCATCATTTTTAATCGTGGCCAGATTATAATATTTTTGAACATACATTCAGGGAACATGCTTCCTTAGTTTCTGCATCATATTAAAGGATTCTGATTAGATTCCTTATCTTTTGCCTTTCTTTAAATGCTCAAATTCAACCTTTAAAAATCACATAAATTAACTTAAAAAACAACTTTTGGATAAATTGATAAATTTGTAATATCCTTCTTTACATTTGTTGTTGCTTATTAAAAAAAGTTAATTTTTTGGCTTTATTTGACCCTCTGGCAGGTGCATGATCAATTTTCTTAAGATTTGAAGGGCACAAGTGCTGCAGGTCCCTGTTCTTGTGAGTACCAATGGCATTTCTTCGGGAGGGTGACATTCCTTAATCCTCCACTGGCAAGTTACTATTGACAATACATATGGACAATAAAATCTTTGGAATACTTTTTCAAAAATGGTAGGTACAATGGCATCAGGATTCATTTGTGTGCAGATAATCAAGAGATGTGCAATATTATAGATTTGGCTGATGCAAGAGGTCTCGTGTATAAAACAATTATCAGATTTGAATAACAATGTCAATGTATAGCTGATCAGTGAGTAATGATAATAATAATAACAATATACTTGTCACATAAATACAGGGAATGCTAATTAATTTTATCAATGGTAGTGTAAGAAGAATTAAGTTAAAATCAATAATAATAAAAAAAGGAAGGAAGGAAAAAAGAGAGAAAAAAGTCTTTGTAGTTTCGTTCCTGGGCTAGGTCCATCATTAATATCCAACAACCAGTTTAGGGGGGTTTCAAAACATTCAACAGAAAATGCAAAAATTATTAGTACTAGTTTATATTGATGTAGATTCGTGTTTATGATGTATATATTATTTTGAGCTGTAGAATGTATGGTTTAATAGGAAAGCTTTCAGTTTATTTTTGAATGTGTGTAGAGTTTAAACTTTTAAATTCACTAGGAAGTTTGTTATATAATGTAATGTCTTCTATAAGGGTACTTTTTTGAAAGATAGAAGTTTCACTGTTTTGGACAAACAGATTTCTTTTTTGTCTAGTATCATAGTTATGAACATCTGTGTGTCAGAGTAACAGAATCCTTGTTTCCCATAAGTGTCTTCTTTGTAAAGATTAATATTTCAAAAATGTACATGCATGGAAGTGGTAGTAAATTGTAATTTTTTGAACAGTAATTATCCATGTTTGGAATGACAATGTACACTGTACACAACAATTATCAGTCTGGAAATGAACATAAAAAAACATACCATGCACCTGGCTAAGCAAATGAAACTTCATATTTATTGTCTAAGTAGTTCAGGTTTATTGTTAGTTTCAACGAACAGTAAAAATTAAATGATAATTACATGTTTGTATATTGTGTTAGGTCTAACATGTTAAGTTTTCATTTTATGAATTGAACAATATTTCTAAATACAAAAGCTTTTCTAAAAATTGCTAATGGTAAAAATGTTGTCATGTGTGAAACAAATCAGAAAGGTCAGAAGCTCCTCTTTTGATTTTACATATTTTCTCATTAACATGAAGGTTAGTGCAACAATATATTTGCAGAATATGAGCCAATGTAATAAAACTCCTTTCTACAATTTAATGAAACAATCATACATATAATTCAACATGTGAAAAATATATTTTTCTGCATTACTTGGGGGTATGATGTATGCCCAAAATGAAATTCATGTACTTGTTGAAATGTTAATAGAATTAAATACTACCTAATAAATTTATTTCCATATTTCTTTATAGATTTCTTGGTTGTCTTTAGTGTCTAGTATTAATTTTTGTTCTAGATACTATTCCATTAACATGAAATAAACTCATACATGCAGTAATCCTGAAAAGTACTAACAGGCAATTTCATTACATTACCTCAATAAATTAATGTGAATCTAAAAAATATACTTCTGACTACAATCAATATTCTATCACAATATTTTTCCTCACAACAGTTAGATTGTCAAAGTACACAAAAATTTGTTTAGATTTTCTAAAAAGCTTTATAACTAAAATTTCAAAATAGAATTATTTATGTTTTGACATTAACAATGGCAATTCTGCACAAATTGACAGGGTCAGTATCACAAACCTACAAATGTCTAAATTCTACAATATTTTTGAGTAGGTTCTTATAACAGAGTAAGCTCTTGGTTTTTAACATTCCCTCAATCAAAATTTAATACAAATACATTTTCTCAAATGATACCTTTTTAATTTCAAGTGTCATGCATTATTTTCTCCCATACTAAAATCCCGTTCAAAATTTTATCACATATTTGAATATCATTATAGCTCTAGCATAGTCACTGTTCTCTTTTTTCTTGGCAGGGATAAATAAAATTTGATTTACTGTTTTAGAAGTGAATTAAAAATCGTAATAGAAAAATTCATTTTTTTATTCACAAGGGAATAACAATATTTTTTAGGAAGTCACTGACAAGATAAATGAGGGTTTAGAGAACTGCGATGGATAAAAATAATTAGTATGTCTTTAACTGTCATACGAAATATACTGTGACTTTCAAGGAAATTAAACTGAACATTAACAATTTTGTGGAATTAATAAATATTAACTTTGTAATACAGTGTAACCTGTGTAAGTAATCACCAACGTTTCCAGCTAAAATGGCCCATTAGTAGAGGTGGCCACTTAATTAAGGTTTTGAAGTTACTGGAATCATAAATCAAATTCAACTGAGCTACTTGCTACAAAATGAACTGTGCTTTCTTAAACATATTTTTATTTACCATAAATAACAAAATTCAAATTAAACAAAGTATTTAAGATCATTTACCTCATCTCAGCTTCTATCAAAACAAAACTGATTTGTCACTCATTCTGTTAGTCAAGAAACTCACAATCTGTCCTCACAGAATGAAATTTGAAGATGCAATTCACATCTAAGAAACTTTACACCAGGGCCATCTGATGAAGGAGCTAACAAATAACCTTGCAATTAGATTTGCTTATGTAGCATCCTTTGCAATTATGTAATGCACTCACACAGAAGGGAAACGAGAAATAGATAAGCGTATTAATGCTGTAAAATGGGCGAAGAGTACATAGTTGTTTAATTAAGAAATACTTATTAAAATAATATGTTGCAACTACAAAATAAAAATTATTATCCCTGCCCCAAAAGCTACTATAGATGTCACTGATAATGCAGCTAACCACAGGGAGATGTTAAATCAACGGTAACCTCTAGTTTTTCTCGTATTATAATTCAATTTAAAATCGCTTGATGTGATGGCTGAACAAGTTAACTATTGGCAATCATAATTTTTTCACACTATTTTTCTGGTAGGTTAGATCAGACACAACTGCCAGTTCTCAATTTAGATGGGCCATGTCAGTCATTGCTGATTGATGTTAAATGCAATTGTACGGGCTACAATGAAAGTTTGGGTCCCTCTGCATGTCTCAATGAAATATTACGAAGCAAATCCCACACACAAGAACAAAATTCAGCAATTTTAGGAGTACACATTTTATTGTATATTTTAGATCACATGAAATAGTAAAAATAAATCAAAGAATAAGAAATGTGTATAACACAAAATATAAAGTTTCAATTTTACACATTTTATAGTATCTTGCAAAGCATTTGACACACACGCAACGATGTTTACAATGAAGGTAATAATTGTGTGTTAGTTTTACATTTACCCCTAGCAATTGGTCTTTCTTTGGTTTCCTTCAAATGGCCATACCAGAAAACACATCATCTCATTTTCTTATTGTTCTGGTCCGTTTTCGTTGTTAAGACATGCATATTTTGGAAACGTAAAGGGTCAGCTATATTTGACTGACATGGCCCTGAAGTGAAGTCATTTTACCTATAGGCCGTGTCAGTCTCATGTTGGTAACATTTTATTACTTGAATCTACGATTACACCATAATAAAAGACAAAATAACTAATCGATCTATGGCACATGCCTGACCATTCACCACTGAAAAGAGGAAATATTTACATGTCTTATGGAAAAATCATATGGTTCCACAAAAAAATGGTGATTATTGGAGGTGGCCACTTTAATCAATCTACATCACAAAATGTGCAAGTCACAAAAAAAAAAAATTGGCCAAATAGATCACAATTTCCTTTAGTTTTCTATTCAAAACTTAATATCAAGAGGAGATGACAGCACATGTGTCTTGCCAACCATATACACGGAATAAAATAGAAGAGAAAGCATTGCAAATATTGACCAATATCCTATGCAATTTCTCATATCATAATAGAGCTTGAAACCAACAAACCAGATGTGATAATTCCAGAAAAACCTGTTGTGGTAACATATCAAAGTAGAGAAAGAAATTTCAAAAAACACTATTTGTGTTCAAGTCTTCCAGTAATTTTTAATTCCTCGACTTCTCTGGGTTTTCCAAAACGCCTAGCTTTGTCAGCATTCTGATTCAGAATATGGTACTTCACCTTCATGAGAGGAAAAGGAGATAGAGAAAAAGAAATGTTCAAGTCGACTTGTTTCTTTTATAAACATGCTGCACTATTACAAATACAACAATAAACAGAATAAAACATTTTCATAATAAAGGTGGATTCATAGGATCAAGTCAAAATTCATCAACATATAATCAGATATTTCACCACAACTAAGACTGCAAAAATATTTATACAGATTGTTTTCCAATAGCAAGAGCTCCTTATTGCTGTCATAATGCCACACTAGAAGAAAATGAAGCAATGATTCTGCCAAGAACCAGGGCGACTGTCAGGTGAAGATACTGCAGAGTCTGAAGTGCATTGACTCACTGGGGTGGGCAGTTATGCAAGCTACTTCAGCTGATCCATAAAATGGAATTGGCCATTCTTCTCACGACGCTTGGTCAGCACATCACAGCCTGTTTCCGTTACCAACAGAGTCTGTTCAAACTGAGCAGACAACAGTCCGTCAACAGTGACCGCAGTCCATTTGTCAGGCCACATTTCATCACGCCAACTACCTGATGATTAAAATAAACGATTTAATTCGCTGGAGCTAAAGATTCCAAAAGAAGTTTTTTGAATATAAAACCTTTTAAAAGACAACAAAACAAAAACCGTTCATTTTGCCTGATTTCTTAGTCACAGTCAATCATTTTGATTCTCTGAAAAAACTCTGATTTAGCAGTTTCGAAAGAAGACAAATAAAACTGTGAAGTAAACATAAAAATTATATGACAGTTTGCTTTTTGAGTCCCAGTCTCCTAGTGATCATATTGGAAAAACAATACAATCATAGAATACTTTGCAGTAAAACCCTCATAGAAGTCTATCATACTTTTCAACACAAAAATCTTTTCAATTTTTATAAAACAAAATTGAAGAAAACTCATAGCAAGATTAAAGTCAAGGTCAGAATTGTGTATTTAAAAGCTCATCTTCAATAAGTTTGAATTTATCTTCAATACACACGGAATTTTGAACTGCTTTCATTTTGTTAGTAGACTTGCCGTCTATTATGAAACTACACACAAAATCTCCTGTAATAGCATTACCACAATCGTTTGTATAATTTTATCGTTCTTGTGAATGGACTACTGACACTGAACCAATAACTTCCTGTAACTTTCACTTTTATTTGTGACATGATTATGCTCACCTTACACAATTTCACTCAAATTACAATGAAATTTAATTTGATCACATATAGGAAGATGACTTCATGGATTGCTCCCAATCAACTCTAATTTTTCAGCATTAAACTAACCTCATTTTATTCACATATAATTGTATGAAAGTGACTACGACAACATACCTTGTGAGATCATAGGCTCAATCGTGAAGCAATGACCAGCTTTCATGACACCCACAGCTTTGTTCTCTGCAATAGAAAATTGAACGGTTTGCATTTAATTCATGCTCCTAAATGTTCCCCCAAGAGAGAATATGTAATTCAATAACTTACTTGCGTAGTGTGGAATGCTAGGGGCAGTATGGAACAACCTGTGAATACCATGACCACAATAACTTCGTACAACAGAGAAGCCATTGGCTTGAGCATGCTTCTGGATCACATTTCCAATTTCACGGTACTTTTCACCCGGTTTCACTGCAACATGTAATAATAGCTAATGAAGCTCCAATTTCAATCATCATTAAATCTAACAATATTAATATATTTCAGGGAAAAAAATCACAAGAAAGGGATTTTAATCAGGTTAACGATCTTCAGATTCCAGGAGAGTAACTGTAGAAAGAGAAGTCAGATATCATCACATAAGTTAATTCCATTCATTGAGGAACAAAGAACTGAACAAATTCAATTAGGAAAAAGGCACTGAATTTTACAAAATTTACACAGAAACTTCTTTGTATTGCAATACTTCAAAAATGATATCAACTGAAACAATATTTTGTTTTACTCACAAACTGTATGTTGTATTACATACAATAGTACACCAGATGCATTGACCGGGCATTACCGAGGTAAATATTTAAAACTACTATATGTTTATTATTACTCCAGTACTCATTTATTAATAATACCTATTGGAAAGGAAAAGGAAAGAACACATTTCATGGTAAGAAAATAATATCCTTTCATTCTTTGCCATGCTATGCTCCATCCTGCCTGCAACTCCTCCCATCACACACATGCTTTTACCCTCCCTCCTTCGCTCTATCTGATTTTCCCATCTGTCACCACCTCCAGCAGTACTGCATTTTATCTTTCTTAATTAACTTTGACTGTTTACCTATATTGATAGCCTTGAGTAAACACTCAGCAGTCACTTGTACCAGCTTCTTTGCTTCTGGACTCACTTCTCCAACAAAAAAGGTTTCATTAAGGTCACCATGGAAGCCGCGATGATAAACAGTAACATCAACTGCAAAAATAAATCAAAAGGAATGAAGTAATATTTTTTCTTCGAAATTAAGTTTCACAACATGCACAGTATATCTATATATCTATCTATATATAGATATACATATACACACAAAACAAAAATAGCTTCATTTAGGTGAAAAAACAACTGTATAATCTGTAACAAATCTATCTGTAACATTCTTTATACCATATAGTGTAAATGTGCATGGGTACCAACAGCACTGCATAATCTCTAATTATAATCGACCACTAATCCTTACATTATCAAAAACTCATTAATTTTGCAACTCTAAAATCAATTGTTAATTCTCCACATTATACGTATTCTCCACGTAAGTCTTGAGGGGTACTATCTTTAACTATCACATCATCCCAAATGTGGAAAAGAATTACAATAGGTTTCAAAGGAACAACTCACAAATCAAGTGTTCCAATTAACAATTCTTCAGTTACTGATGGATGACTACATACAGGTATTTCAGATACGTTTTTGTGCATTTCTCTTATGGCTCCTAACTGGTTTTCTAAAAGTCAGGAAAGGTTAATGCAGATACTTCACTTCCTCTTGCAATTCTTTGTGAACGAGTCATACGTTGGAACATCCTTACTACGTTTAATAATGAACCAGTTTCTCAACATTCCCTTCAAAAACTTTGTTTCTACATTTATATTTCTTTATTATACTATATTATTATTGTAGATACATATACAATGTAAGTATAATTCTAATTCTCATATTGCACACTACAAACCAAATGATCCTTAGTAAGTAACAACCAAATTACTATTTCTGAACATCAAAAACCATCTGATATTTCACACGACACTAAGTTTTCACCATGAGCCTTCTCAATTTTCTTGGATATATATCAAAAAGAAGAGATCATGAAATGTACACAACTATTTGCTCTAACATATTTCTTATGCTACACAATATTTAAAAAGACAAATAAATACACTCATTCCTTGCTATAACATTTATTATTGTCATTTAACACAATATTACCTACCATTGCAAATATCACCATTCTTCAGAGGACGTAGATCTGGAATGCCATGGCAGATCACCTCATTCACTGAAGTGCAACAAGAACGAGGAAACTCATAATAATTGAGAGGTGAAGGGTAGCATTCACGTTCCAAACAGGCCTCATGAACAACACGATCAATGTCATCTGTAGTTGCTCCGACTTCAATAGCTTTACCAGCTTCATTCAGAACTTCACGTCCCAACTATGAAAATCAGAAAGAAACAATTTAATTAATTCTCTGTTCAAAAGAAATAACCATATTCTAAGAAGATCTTCTAAGAAATAATACACAAAATTCTAAAATTTTTCCATTTTCCCTCTATAAAAACCTCCCCAAATGCACAAAACCCCCTGCAGTTGTCCAGTTCCAACTGAACAATATCAAAATCCAACAACTACCAATTTCCAAGCAATAAAATTGATGAATGAATAATAAATGTAAAATATTTACTTCTCGTAAATAGATCTTAGATACACATTAGAAATTCCTCCTATGTTAACAACCTAATTTAATATATGCCATCAAAATATTAATTTGTGAGTAAAAACTACTGTGATACCTCATATATAGATGGCAATATTTTTACCCACAAGTAACTAATGTTATACTCTCTGATCCAAAATCAATAGATCTTTCTGATTTTATTTTGACTTCAATTTCTTTGAATCGTACCTTGCACGCTACACGCATGCCTTCTATCTCTTCATCAGAAAGCACACGGATCTGATTGTTGCCTTTCACAGCCTGTTCTGAGAGGGGAATGCCATCAGGGTGTTCAGCATAGTCAGGTCTTGCAATATGAGCAGGCACTGTTCGTTTTGGGCCTTGAGGAAAAGGTCTTAGCTTGCCTGCAAATAAAACATAATGAAGTAATAAACCACACAATTCTCACAATCAATCTGTTATTTTGTATAAAACTAACCTGTGAATCTGTAATTGGGCCATGGGTCATATCCTTCTTTTTCATCCACACCTACACCTTCTGTAAAGATGTGAACAGCATTAGATACGCTTATTAAATATACTATAAAAATATTTCATTGAATATTAAACTTACGTGCAAGTTTATGTAAGACTTTATGAGCTTTCCAATTTCCTTTAAAACAATCCTAAAAGAAAATATTGCGAAAGTTAATTTTATACATTCAATAATGATAATAACACACAAAACATAGAAGCACTTCCAAGCAGGGAGGAAATGACCTTGAGATTTTTCTTTTCTCAATGGGGCACTTCCAAGCAAATGTTTTCTTACATGTACAGTATTAAACATAATAATACAATAAAATGAAGCACGTGGTTTCATCGGCTTATTTGGGCAACTACCTTAAAATGTAAAAATAAAACTTTAGGCAAATGCCACAAAAACCACAAGAAGTAACGCAACAATTCAAACGCACCCATTATGCACCTTAAAATATGAAACAACGGATAGTGACCCACATAATTGAAGCATAAGAATAACACACCTGAGAACAAAAATACGATCCTTGGATACCTAATTTTAAACAAGTCGGACATTGTAGTTTTGCCTTAGCACCACAACCAGGAGTTTCACACACTCTCGACTCTGTTAAAACTGCTGACATTATCAGATATCAAACAAACCAAAGATAAATTCCTAAAAATCTAACGAACTCTGCGTACATTAAACAACAAATTCATTCAATTTTCAGCACACCATCTCACAGAAACAGCAATTTCATTTTCTGGAGACCTCTCATAGTTGCCAACAGAACAACTCGTCATTGTCCTCAATAAAAAGAAACTTACCTTCTATGAAATATAACATATATAAACAAGTACATATAATAAATAAATACATTAATGTGAACTGCATAATATAAGTAAAAAAATTATCTAATACGAAATATTCAAATCTATGTTAAATTCTAGTATCTGGCCGACCACCACATGTGGCCCGTTAGCTCAGTTGGTTAGAGCGTGGTGCTAATAACGCCAAGGTCGCGGGTTCGATCCCCTCACGGGCCAGAGTGTTTTTTTATTATTATTTATACTGTACCTTGTATCCAAGATGCACTGAATGGGTAACTGTTAAATATATTCTTAATCCCGTGTATGAAATGTATTTTTCATTGA